TACCCAAAAATGTATGGATTATTTATAATTAAAGGAAAATCGGAGGAAATAATTTGTGCAGAAAACAATATTTTGTTTATGGACCAAAATAAAAAATGGGATATAATATAGGGACCAAAATAGTAATTATAACACGTTAATTATAAATAATATAATAAATTATTGTTTTCTTAAATCGTAAATCGTAAAATTTGATCGCTTTGTCGATATTTAAGATTTATTTTAACATTTGAATCGACTTAAGTATGAATAATTGAATCGTAAGATTTGAATCGTAAATCATAAGATTTTAAACTCGGTATTGCGAATTTTCGTAAATGAGTCACACGCGATTATAGTTGAGGAGTCGAAGCATACTGCCTTGGTGGCAAATATTTCGGATATTGCAAGAGAGATCCACTTTGGTGTTAAATTTGCTATTTCGGTAAAACGACTGGGAAAATGGAATTGGTATAGCGCTGATTCTGCAATTTTCAAAACTGTTTCAGTCAAGGAAGTGGATTTCCATAAATTACAAATTGACCCCCTCTTGGGGTGCATTTCTTGTTTAAGGACAAAAATAAAAAAAAAAAACAAAAAAACCAAAAAAAAAACAATGTAGGTAATATAGGGACCAAAAATCGTAAACTTTGATCGATTAGCCGATATTTAAGATTTATTTTAACATTTGAATTGAATTAGATATGAATGAATTGAATCGCAAGATTTGAATCGTAAATCATAAGATTGTATGCTCGAGATTGCGAATTTTCGTAGATGTGACAGATATTTTGGATAGTGAAATAGAGATCCACTTTGGGGTCAAATTTGCAATTTGGGTGGAGCGGCTAGGAAGATGGAGTAAGTATAGGGGTGATTCTACAATTTTCAAAGCTATTTCAGCCAGGGAGGTGGATTTTCAAATATACAAATTGACCTCCACTTGGGGGCATTTCCGGTTGAAGGACCTAAATTAAAAATTTGTATATGAATAGGGATCAAATATGTAACTATTGCAAGTTTATTATAAATAATATAATAAATTAAAGTTTTTTTAAATTGTAGTTCGTAAAATTTGATCATTTTGTTGATATTTAAAATTTATTTAACTTTTGAATCGACTTAAGTATGAACAGACTGAATCGTAAATCATAAGATTTTAAACTCGATATTGCGAATTTTCATAAATGAGTCACACACGATTATAATTGAGGAGGAGTCGAAGCATTCTGCGTTGGTGGCGAATATTGCAAGAGATATCCAATTTGGGGTCAAATTTGCAATTTGGGTAGAGCGGCTGGGAAGATGGAGTAAGTATGTGAGTGATTCTGCAATTTTCAAAATTGTTTTAGCCAGGGAGATGGACTTCCAAAAATTACATGACCCCCACTTGGGGTTTATTTTTGGTTTAAGGATCAAAATTATATAAAAAAAAATGTATAATAATATAGGGACCAAAAATCGTAAAATTTGATCAATTTGTTGATAGTTAAGATTTATTTGAACATTTGAATTGACATAGATATGAATGAATTGAATCGTAAGATTTGAATCGTAAATCATAAGATTGTATGCTCGTTATTGCGAATTTAGTAAATGTGGCGGATATTTTGGATAGTGAAAGAGAGATCCACTCTTTGGAGTCAAATAAGCAATTTGGGTATAGCGGTTAGGAAGATGTTAAAATAAATCTTAAATATCAACAAAACGATCAAATTACAATTTAAGATATAAGAAAACTTTAATTTATTATATTAATTTTAATAAACTTGTGATGATGACAGTTTTGATCCCTATATTATATACCATTTATAAGTTTTGTCCTTAAACCCAAAATGCCCCCAGGTGGAGGTTAATTTGTAATTTCCGAAAATCCACATCCCACGCTGAAATAGTTGTGAAGATTGCAGAATCAACCCTATACATACTCGTTTCCTTAAACAAGAAATGCACCCCAAGTGGGGGTCAATTTATAATTTCTGGAAATCCACTTCCTTGACTGAAACAGTTTTGGAAATTGCAGAATCACCGCTATACTTATTCCATTTTCCCAGTCGTTTCACCCAAATAGCAAATTTAACACCAAAGTGGATCTCTCTTGCAATATCCGAAATATCTGCCACCAACGCAGTATGCTTCGACTCCTCAACTATAATCGCGGGTGACTCATTTACGAAAATTCGCAATACCGAGTTTAAAATCTTATGGTTTACGATTCAAATATTACGATTCAATTATTCATACTTAAGCACTTAAGCCGATTCAAATGTTAAACTAAATCTTAAATATCAACAAAACTATCAAATTTTACGATTTCCGATTTAAGAAAACAATAATTTATTATATTATTTATAATTAACGTGTTATAATTACTATTTTGGTCCCTATATTATATATCATTTTTAGTTTTGGTCCTAAAATCGAAAATGCCCCCAAGTGGAGGTTAATTGGTAATTTCCGAAAATCCATCTCCCTGGCCGAAACATTTTTTAAAATTCCAGAATCACCCCTATACTTACTCCATCTTCTCAGCCTCTCCACACAAATTGTATATTTAACCCAAAGTGGATCTCTCTAGCAATATCTTAAATATCCGCCACCAACGCAGTATGTTTCAAGTCCTTCTCAACTATAATCGCGTGTGACTCATTTACGAAAATTCGCATTACCGAGTTTAGAATCTTATGATTTACGATTCAATTTATTCATACCTAAGTCGATTCAAATATTAAAATAAATCCTAAATATCGACAAAACGATCAAATTGTACAATTTGCAATTGAAGAAAACTTTAATTTATTATATTATTTATAATAAACATGTTATAATTACAGATTTGGTCCATATATTATATACCATTTTTAATATCGGTCTTTCAACCGGAAATGCCCCCAAGTGGAGGTCAATTTGTAATTTTCGAAAATCCACCTCCCTCGCTGAAATAGTTGTGAAGATTGCACAATCAACCCTATACTTACTCCATCTCCCTAGCTGCTCCACCCAAATTGCAAATTTGACCCCAAAGAGTGGATCTTTCTTTCAATATCCAAAATATCCGCCACATTTACGAAAATTCGCAATAACGAGCATACAATCTTATGGTTTATGATTCAATTCATTCTTATCTATGCCGATTCAAATGTTAAAATAAATCTTAAATATCAACTAATCGATCAAATTTTACGATTTTTGGTCCCTATATATTACATATATATTTTTTTTTTAATTTGGTCCTTAAACAAGAAATCCACCCCAAGTTGGGGTCAATTGTAATTTCTGGAATCCACCTCCCTGGCCGAAACAGTTTTGAAAATTGCAGAATCACTCATATACTTACTCCATATTCCCAGCCGCTCTGCCCAAATTGCAGATTTAACCCCGAACTGGATCTCTCTTGCAATATCCGAAATATCCGCCACCAACGCAGTTTGCTTCTAATCCTCCTCAGTTATAATCGTATGTGACTCATTTACGAAAATTCGCAATACCGAGCATAAAATCTTATGGTTTACGATTCAATTCGTACGATTCAATTCATTCATATCTATGTCGCTTTGAATGTTAAAATAAATCTTAAATATAAACTAATCGATCAAATTTTCTGATTTTTGGTACCTATATTACATACATTGTTTTTTGGTCTTTAAACAAGAAATTCACCCCAAGTGGGGGTCAATTTGTAATTTCTGGAAATTAACTTCCCTGACTGAAACAGTTTTAAAAATTGCAAAGTCACAACTATACTTACTCCATCTTCCATGCCGTTCCACCCAAATTGCAAATTTAACATGTGTGACTCATTTACGAAAATTCGCAATACCGAGTTTAAAATCTTTTGATTTACGATTCAAATCTTACGATTCAATTATTCATACCTAAGTTGATTCAAATGTTAAAATAAATCTTAAATATCGACAAAACGATCAAAGTTTACGATTTACGATTCCACCCAAATTTTACCTAATCGTAAAAAAAAGATAAAAAAAAAATGCAGCCTAAAAATCGATTTATGAAAGTATGTCGAAAATACATAATACGATAAGTTCTTGTACTCACCCGAGGCACCCGGCACCGCGCATTGCGCGGTGCTCTACACTAGTATATATATATATATATATATATATATATATATGTATCTCTAGCTCAACATAAGTATTTATTTAATTAAAAAAATAAACATTTGAACTAGTCCTTCATATAATTTTCTAACAATGTAATAACTAAACCTTGGTGCCCACGACTTCATTATTGATTTAACCCTCATATAAAGCACAAATTAGATCCGAGAATTCAAACATCTCCAAAATAATTCTACCCCAAACAAAAAAAAAAAAAAGAAATCCAAAGAAAATGGTTTGAAAAACATCAAAGATGATCAAGAAAAAGAAAAACCATGTCCCAAGTGAAAAACAAGCCACCCCCATTAGTAATCCACCAAACACATGGCCTAATCTCCCACACCAACTCATTGCCCAAATTGCGATACACCTGAACCTAATGGAAAACATCACTTCTTTCGGTTGCGTGATCAAGACATGGAGATCGACCTCAAGGCAATGCATCGCAAATGGAAAATACCCGAAACAACCTCAACTCGCCGAAATTATTATCACTGGGAAAAAACGAGGCGAGAAAAATCAAGAACGTGGGCGGTCCCACACCATCGACATCCCGTTTCACGGCAAGTACCCCTACTACTACGATAAAAAACGAAAATCACCCAAGAACAATTTTTGTTCTCATCCAATGTATTTCAAGGGCCATTCTCATGGACAAGTAGTGGTCATCATTAATGAGGGGCCCAGTAATTTTTGTTTGTGGGAGCCCGCTAAGACACGCTCGCTTGGCCTTCCAGGTTGGAACCCTAATTTTTCATTCAGAACTTGCACATTGTCATCATCTCCATATGGTATCGACGGTTTCAGTGCAATGGTTATAACGGGTATTGATTCTCCTGCTTTCGCATTCAGCGGATGCGGCAAAAGTATCACCGAAAGGGCATTTTGGTCTTTTCAAGATTGTTGTGTCGAGGAACCTTATAACCAAGGCGAAAACATGCAGTTCACCAATGCCATTGGATTCAAAGGGAAATTCTACGCATTGACTTTGCAGGGGAGCGTTGTCGTGATAGAAGGAGACGTTGATTCTTGTTTTAGAATCGCGGCCGTTGGATCTAGAAGGAGTGTGCCTATTGGAGTCTCGAGGCAATTTAGGGAGTATTTGGTCGAATTGGACGGTGAGATTTTGCTCGTTTTTCTTGTGTCTAGAAAATGTATTGATGTTGTTGATGATGTTGAGGTGTTTAGGCTTGATATTGATAGGGTTTTGTGGGCGAAAATTGAAAGTATTGGAGATAGAGCTTTGTTTCTTGAGGATGAATGTTGTATGTGGGTTGATGCAAAAAAATTGGGGTGCAAAAAGAATTGTATTTATTTCACTCACCATAGGGTTAATGAGTGGTTGACTTTTGACTTGGGAAGTGGTGAAATTTCACCAGCTTTTGGTCAAGATTATGTGACGTGGGACATTGGAAGATTGAATAATTGAGTGATTTCAATTGAAATATATGAAACTTTGTTACTTTAATTTGTGAAATTAGATGTGCCTAATTAACAATGGGTGATTAATTATGTTTTTATAGAGGATTTGGGGTGGAAGTTCACTTCAATAAAGAAATTGAATTAGTGAATGTACCATAATTGCGACACTATCAAACGTTTTTAAACATATATATTAAGTGGCAATATTTGTATGCTATCACATATAATAACTCATTTTGTTGTTACTTAATCTTTTTCTATTATCACTAGTAGACAACTATGTAGCACGGAAATAGAAATGGCGATATGGGGAAAATCGATATGGGTAAACGAATATAAAGAAACGACATGTTCCAAAAATGGGGATACGGGAACTTGGAAAAAGTGTAAATATTAAAAATTATAGGGGTATATTTATAAATATTTATAAGTCTTTATTTATACATAATTTCTTTTTATATACTTTTATACAAACATATTTAAATAAATTTTCTATCAACTATCAATTTGTAATTGGTCATTAAATCATGTAAATAATTTGGGAAACAAGAGAAATATTTAAAAATTTATTATTCAAACATGTTTTAACTTTTTAGAAATTGTCAAAATGGCCCATAAGATGTCTGGCAGATTTTTCCAGTTTCCAACACGAAACATTTTCAAAACGCGAAAAAGTTAACAAATTGAAGTTTTCGTGCTACATAGACTAATAATCCTTTGTGAAAATAATAAACTATGGCAATACAACATTAGTGGTACCCCGTGAGTTACAACCATAAGGGCAACAATTTTTGTCTAATCATGTGAAAAATGAAAATCACATCACTGTTGTCATTTAGGCCCCTTTTGGTTGGAGGGATGGGGTGGGATGGGATTGGGGCTTCATATTGAAATTACACTGTATGGATTAGTGAAATATGGATGGTATCTCGAGTTTGGTTGGTTGGATACGGATATGTGGGATTATATCCGAATGGGCCAAACTTAGGAATGGTTGGGATGATTGGGTGGGATAATTTAGTTAATTACATTACCACCCTTGCAAGCCTTTTTATTATTATATTATTCACCTGTCAATTTTTTAAATATTGCTTGGTGCACCCATTTTTTCCTCCCATTTTCATGTAAATATAAAATCAGCCCTATCATTTTCAGATAATTACATTATCACCCCTTGCAAGCCCTTTTTATTATTATATTATACACCTGTCAATTTTTAAAATATTGGTTGCACCACCCATTATTTCCTCCAATATTCCTTTAATTTAAAAGCATCCATAACATTTTTGGATAATTACATTACCACCCCATGCAAGCCCTTTTTATTGTTATGTATACACATGACAATATTTAAAATATTGCTTGCACCACCCATTCTTTCCTCCTATTTTCCTGTAATTATAAAATCAGCCCTAACATTTTCGGATAATTACATTTACACCCCTTGCAAGCTCTTTTTATTATTATATAATACACCTGACACTTTGTAAAATATTGGTTGCACCACCCATTCTTTCCTCCCATTTTCCTGTAATTATAAAATCAGCCCTAATATTTTCGAATAATTACATTTCCACCCCTTGGAAGCTTTTTTTATTATTATATAATACACCCAATCTATGATGAATTTGCTTTATTTCCAAAATAAAAGTTTGTAGTTGTTTGTGTTCTGGGGTGACTTCATTCTTGCTTTTTTCTACTATATTGTAATTTATAATTTGTGTTTATTATTGAAACAATGAACATTAATATAAGAGTTACATGCCATTATCTACATCTTCTATTTTCTACAAAATATGAAGCTAATAAAATTGAGCAGTAGCTCCAAAATAACAGAATTTTTTGAAAGCCATATTAGACATTTTAGCTCCAAACTAACAAAAACTTCACCAAATACTTGTAGAAAATTTACCAAATATAATCTGCCATATTACAGAAAATTTATATTTGTGACACACAAGCGGACTACTATAATAATGTCCACCACAAAATTAAATTAAAGAAGAAATATAAAATATCTTAAATGCAAATAACGCCGCAATATGGGGTCTGAATACGGAAAATTTCTTCGTCGCCTTGTGAGTGGATGGTAGTCTACTTATCCGAAGTAGATTCGAACCATAACCCCCTTTTCAGACTCATTTAATCCGAAAAATATGTCCAGGTCAGTTGGGCTATTGCAAACAGCTTTAGCGACAGTGATCTTATCCTCGACACCTAAGAATAACGGCGATAGGGCATCCAACACCTTCTTACGTATAGTGGACGCATCGTGCTCAAAACCATCTTACTTATAACAATATATAACAATATTCACTGTAAAAAAACAATATATAATAGAAGAATGACCAATAAACCTGCAAAATTATCAATCAATTGGATCTATTTTCAGTCATTTCCTGTTCGAATTCAACAATTGTAAATCCTACAACATTCCCTCAAGCATAAAATTTGATCTTTACTCCAAAAACTACAACTTTTATTAACCTTGGATTCAACAAATATATGATCTACTACTTTTTCGAAATAAAAATTATATTTATTCCAAAAAATTGCATCTTTTCCAAGCCTTGCACTCAAACAAAAAACAATACAAAAGGGGCAACTAAATTTCAATTGAAGTCTGCACAAACCCAAAGGTTTTTTTTCCAAAAAAATGTTATTTTCCAACTAAGCATGAGGGTATTGTACTACTTTATCCCAAATAAAAATTGGTTATTTTTTCCAAAAAATGCTACCTTTCCCAAACCTTAAGCATGTATTGTGAATACCAAAAAAAAAGAGAGATTTTGTATCGTAAAAATCAATTCTTGATAAGTTTTTCTTGACGCAGATTTTTTTTTTTTTTCATTGTTACAAAGAAGAGAGGGAGAGAGAGAGGAGATACACACAAAGAGAGAGAGAGAGAGAGAGAGAGAGAGAGAGAGAGAGAGAGAGAGAGAGAGAGAGAGTAGAGAGAGAGTGGAGAGAGCAAAAAAATACAAGGCGTTCTACAGTCAAAAAGGCTCCTCTCACTACCATCAAACCCCAGAACCAGAGCTTCATTCCTACCTCCTCCATTATAGGGTTTAAGGTACAGATTCAACCATGCAATAAACCCCATACTAAAATTATTTAAGCAGTAACTTTATACTTTATTAATATTCTCTCTCTCATGTCACTCGAAACATGAAATTAAGCAGATAATACAATATAATCGGTTTACTCGAACACCCAATGGCGTAAAATAGTCCGATAATCACAAATTACAACTAACAGTAACACACAACAATTACAGTCAATAAATAAATTATTAATAACCATTCCAGGACCGATTATAACTCCATTTGAAAGTCCCAATTTTTATGTGAAAGAAAAATAATTTATTTTGCACAAACATACCCACAAAGAATTTGAAAGTTCATAGAACTAACCCGTTTGAGATGTACGCTTCCACTACCGAGGACTTGGCGATGCTACAATCGTCCACCGTTGACTGTAAGGTAAAGCTCCCGGAAGCGAAAATGGCGGAGAGCTCCGAAAACGAGGCGCCTGCCGCTGCTACGATCGGCCACCGCCGCCGCCGTATCCTTTAAACTGATTCAACAAATTTATAATTCAGAACCAAAAAAAATAAAGGGAAACAAAATAAAACTCAAACATTAAGCCTGATTATGGAAGAAAAAGCATAATCGATAGGGCAAGAAACCAATTTGTGTAGATAGTTGATAGTCGGGTTGCTAGGGCTTGTGAGAGATGAGATTGGGGGAAAATGTATTATATATGCAGTACATTTGTAATAACAAAAGAAAATGAGGGCATAAACGTATAAACACAGGTGGGGTAGGAGTGAGAAAAGGATGGGATTCACAGATCTCACCTCCCCTGGCCGGATCTTATATCCGTTAATTGGCGGATCGCGACCCGGGCCCAGGATCTATCCGGGTTCACTCAAAGTGAACCAAAGATGAGAACCGGGTGGATTACAAGATCTATCCGCCCAAATCCAGCGAACCAAAAGGGGCCTTAGAAGATTATTTGTTGCAGTGATTGGAGACGTAATTTTCAAAACCCAACGATATCGATAATGATTCAGATCTTTCCGATTTTGGAACAACATTTTTCATTTCGAATTTCGAGAGTTCCGATTTCCATAATTAATTAAGGTATAATCAAAGTCTATTAGTGGTGGTGTTGAGCTCATTGAACTCAAACCAATTTAAGCAAGATTAGGTCTGTCTTGATTACCAAAATTGTGAATAATTAATACTAATAAACACTAAACTTTGCTTTATCTTTAATTAATGATGATTTATGACTGTCATCACCACTAATATTAGTACTTGTTTGTAAATCCCAGATTGGTGGAACAAAACCCTCCCCCCCTGTCCGACACGTGTCAGTCATCTATTCGCTCAGCAGCATCAAAATTTTAAATTATTTTAATTTATCTTACCAAAAATCCCCACCAATTATCACTCATTTCTCAGTGTACGAGGAAAGCCCACTACATTAACTTTAATAAATAAATAAATAAATAATAAAGTAATAAAATATAAATAAAAATTTCCACATATATTACATATATATACGCTCCTTTCTAAATTAGGGTTTGGTCACCTAATCAGGAGCTGGTCCTAATTAATCTGTATGAAAATCATTTCAATCTTGATAGTTAATATTCTCATTAATAGCAGTATCAATATTAATATCAGTATCAATATCACTGAATCAGTATTAATATCAATATTATGATTCTTTTTTTAAATTGCGGATTATATCGTATTATGTATATCAACTAATCAAAGCTTTTGATCGATTATTTTATCTAAACATATTTTTATTTTTTAAATTGTTGAGATACTAGTTTGTTATATGTTATTAATAATAAATGTTAACATATTTTAATTAATCTTTAATTTCAACTAAAACCACCATATATGCATACCACTTTGGTTTTCTTAATTAAACCGCTCCCATGTTTTTCTAAAGTGGTTTTCCTTTGTATAAAAACTGATAGGCATTTCTTTCATTAGTCATTTTGTCCTAAATTAATTCAAGCTCAAA